GGACGGGGCTGTGGGAGCAGCGGGTCTGGGGGTGGCTGAGCCAATATTGGTGAAGGAGAGACCCTTGAGCACAGCCATCCCCTGTTCAGGTGCCACGGGGCTGAGGCTGGAGCTGCCATGAAGAGCCTGAAGGCCAAGTTCAAGAAGGCAGACGTGAGTGCCATCCACAGGGACATGGGGACACAGGGACCTTCCCTGGGATGTCCACAGGGACATGGGGACATGCCCTGGGATGACCCAAGTTTCCCGGGGATGTGAGGACATGGGGATCTTCCCCAAGGTGTCCCCAGTGTCACAGGGACATGGCGACCTGCCCTGGGACATGGGGTGGCTGCTCCCCGTGGGGACAGCAGCCCCATGGAGGTTGGCAGTGCCACCCTGGCTGGTGGGATTGAGCTCCCAGTGTACCTAAGGGTGCTCCCAGGGCCATCATTGGGAGTGGGGCAGAGCAAAGGAAAAAAGGCAGCAGCAGGGAGAGGGAAGCAGGTTCCATGTCCCCTCCCTGGGGACAGCTGACAGCTTTCCAGCTGCCACAGCCAGTGTAATCAGCATGTCGATGTTCCTGAATTATTCAGCACCAGCCTGGCACGGGGCCGCAGGCTCTCGCCATCCTCCCCACTGGGCAGAGGGTGCCAGTGCTGTCCCCAGTGCCCATGGCAGCACCAGGCAGACGTGTGCACTGGGAACACACAGCTGGGGACACATGGACACAGGTTGAAGCCCCCCATGTTGAGTCTGTGGGCCTGCCCTGCTCGAGGTGCTCTCTGCCTCAGTTTCCCCACGCTGCCCTGGACACTTCTGTGAGTGGGGAGCGGGGAGAGGCTGCTGCTGTCCTGCCGCCCCCAGGGCTCTTCCAGGACAGCTGCCTGGGGACACTTTGTATTTTGGGGTTCCCTCCCCGAGGGGAGTTTGCTGATCCCCTGAGATGCAGGCAGGGGGTCCTGCCCCTCCCTTGGCCCCAGGGCTGTGGCGGGAGGTAACTCCCCAGGGGGTCCCATGCCCCCCTTCTTGGGGAGCAGGATCTGTGTGGCAGGAGGATGCTTATCCCCTTGGGGGGTGCATTGCCGCCTCTCCTTGAGCATGCGATGGGAAAGCAGCCCCATACCCAACCCCTCCCATTTCAACTGGGACCAGCCTGGGTGCTTGTCCCTGACTGGGACCTTGGTACATGCTCCGTGGCAGGGATAGGGGGTGCCTGGAGCTCTGGATGCTGAGGAGGGAGGGAAGGAGAGAAAGAAGGAGGGACGGAGGGATGGAGGGAGGCGGATCCCGGCTCCCACTGCGGCAGGACCCGGCCCCCGCCCAGGCAGCGATGCTGGACCGAGCCAGGGTCTGGGGTCCACGGCCTGGGGACCCAGCCTGCCCTCGCCCAGGCGGGGGGCAAGGGATGCATGGCTGCCCGCCACCTCCTCCTCAACACCATGAAGCAGATCTGCCTCTGTGCCGCTGCCTCCTTCGCGGTACGTCCCTGTCCTCCATCTCCGGTCCCCTTTGGTCACGTCCTCCGGGGTAAGCCGTGTCACCCCCACCCCACCTGGACCCCCTGCATACCCATCCCTGTCCTGGGGCTCAGCTGCATCCTCTCCAGCCTGCTTTGTCCTTGCATGACAAGGGTGTGTGTGTGGGGGGGGAGTAGGCACCACCCTCCCAGTTTGCCCAGTAACCCTGGGAGACTGGTTTATTCCCTGCTCCTGGATGGGGTCTCCTGGCCCACAGGGGCCTGCGGGGGCACCAGGCAGGCACAGTGGCACAGGTCCCGTGCCTGGCATCGTGCAGCACACTGGTGAGGGGCAGGACGCAAGCAGCTCCCAAAAGGTGACATCCATTTCCTGCTGCCACGGCTGCAGCGAGCTCTGGTTTGTCGTCACAGGCTGTGGGGTGAACTCAGGACTCCCCATGCTGGACCTGTCCTGCTGCAGTTTACTCCCTCGGGATGGAGACGTGCTGGAGCACTGGATCAACAAGCCCCCATCCACCCCCAATCCTGCACAGGGGTGGGGACAGTGTCATGTCCCTTATATCCCAGGGGACCTGCTCTCGCTGACGACTGTGCTGGTCCTGGCTTGGTCCCTTCCTCGGCAGGGAGCAAAGCAGGGCTGGGAATGGGCTCAGTGGGGAGGCCTGGGCAGGGATGGGGCTCAGGCACCTCATGGGTGCTGGCTGTGTTTAGTATTGGGGTCACTGGGATGGCAGGGGCAAAGCTTGGGGCAGGGGCAACCAGGCAAAATCACTCCCAAATTCTATCTGGTCACAGCCTGGCCCATCCACAGCTAAACTGGGGCAGCTCTGTAAATCTCCTGGTCTGTGAGCTGCGAACTGGGGTTGGGGGCTGAAGGGGATCTTCACCCCTGTCAGCTGTCCCAGCTAAACCCTCCATACCTGAGGGCTGGACACCACAGCACCCAGGAAAGGAGTTGGCCCAGAGATGGCCACCCCAAGGGATAGGGATGGGTGGCAGACAGCAGGGATGGGCATGAGGACAGGCACCCCAGCCCGGCACCCCAGCCCAGCACCCTGCCTGTCCCTGGGGTTGGCACACCCATCACAGCCACCTCTTGGCTTCATTGCAGAGCCAGGACTGGACCAAGAACGATGAGAAGCTCCTGCAAGCTGTGGACTACAATGATGCCGGGAGGGTGACATCTCTCCTTGTCCGCAAGGGCCTGGTCCCAACCAAGCTGGACTCAGAGGGCAAATCCGCGTAAGTGCTGGCCCACATCCCCAGGACACTGGGGACAAGGCTGGGGGACAGGGACATGAGTCTGGCAGCCCCTGGTCTTGCTGCAGGTTCCACCTGGCCGCCATGCGGGGGAACGTGGACTGCCTTGAAGCCATGCTGGCTCACGGTGTGGATGCCATGACCAAGGATAGCTCAGGTGAGGGCATGGCCGCCACGCGCCCTCAGCTAATGCCATGGACCACTCAGAGCCACCAGCACTCCCTGGTTGTTCCCACTCTGCCAGCAGGTGTTGAGGCTGAGGGGACAGAGGTGATGGCCACACCTGCAGGAGCTGTAAATTGTCCCAGCTTCCTATCAGGACTCAAGCACTGACCGATGGTGCTCCTGGGGATGTCCCATTCCCATTTAGCCCCAGTCCAGCAGATCCTCCTGTGTGCCCATCCATCTGTCTGTCACCTAACCAGTCCCCTCTGCCACAGACCCACTGTTTGTTCTCTGACTTGTCCGTCTGTCCCTCTCCCCAGGTTACACTGCCCTACACCTGGCGTCCAAGCATGGCCACCCACAGTGCGTCAGCAAACTGCTGCAGGTACCGGGGCTGGGAACACGGCACTGCGAGGGAGGGAGGGAGGGTGCTGTGCCAGCAAGGTGTCCTCTCTGTCCTTGAACTTCCTTCCCTCACCAGTGGCATTGGTTGGCATGGTGGTTCCTGGCTCTGCCTGGTGCTGTGTGGTGCTGCCTGGCACCTGCTTGACCTTCCACCATGCCAAGGAACCACATCCACGGGAGCAGTCTGTCTATCTGTTCCCTGCCCTGTAACCCAGGCTCTCTCCTTCAGGCCTCCTGCCCCGTGGATGTGGCCGACGGCAGTGGCCGAACAGCACTGCACCACGCAGGTGAGTGGGGACAGTGCCAGCCCTGTCCTGCTCATGTCCCCATGGGAGGCAGAGTGCTCAGCCTCTGTCCTTCTCCCCAGCGGTCAGCGGCTGCATCTCGTGCTCGGAGATCCTCTGTGATTTCAAGGCTCCCTTGAACATCAAGGACAAGGTGAGATCCCACTGCTCCTCACCCTGCAATGCTGTGCAGAGCAGCAAGGGGCCAGGCCAGGGCTGCCTCTGAAATGCAGCAGCTTCTGGGGTGGGATGTGGCAGCTGGCAGAACCTGGGGTTCCTGGGGTGAAAACATACCATGAAGTGGGATGTGGAAATCCAGGAGATAATGGGAGCGGGGTGCCCCATGGCGGGATCTGAGCCTCATCTGCGCAGCCTCACCCAACTTGACCAACTTGACCTTGCCCAGGATGGCTCCACACCGCTGATCCTTGCTGCCAAGATGAGCCACTCAGAGCTGTGCCGGTACCTGCTCCACCGCGGCGCAGCGATCAACAGCCGGGACCTGCAGGGGAGGTGAGTCTGCACTGGTGGGGACTGGGGGCAGACAGGGAGATGAAAGGAATAGCCCCCCTCACCTCTCCTCCCACCACTCTGCTCAGGACAGCCTTGATGCTGGCCTGTGAGAATGGCAGCGTCGAGACAGTGGAAGTTCTCGTCAACGCTGGTGCCAGGGTGGCCGTGGTGGACTCCACAGGCCACAACGCCGCACATTACAGCCTGGCCACAGGCAACGCTCTCATCCAGCACTTCCTGCAAGAGGCTGCTCAGCGCCGGTCCTGGGCCAGTGGTAAGGCAGCTGTGCCACCCTGGTGCTCCTTGTCTGCAGGGCGCAGACCCACGGGGTTTTTTTCACCCTGCAGGGTGCATTGGGGCAGGGATGGCTAACCCATGGCTGCAAGAGGTTGCGCAAGGCTGGGGGGCACATGCTCCCTTTTCCCACGTGCTGGGGGTGCCTTTGCCCATGCTGTCACCAGCCGAAGGCTGGGAGGTGGTGCTGAGTCTCGGTTGCCTGTTTCAGTGTCTTGTACATGCACACATGTTCACACATGTCTATCAGCCAGTGTTTGTACGTGTGTCTGCGTGTGCATGTCTGTGTGCACGTCTCCTTGAGTCTGCACACGTGCGTGCACCCCTGCTGTTACACGCCCATGTATACCGCCATATTTGTCTGCCTGCGTGTGTGCCCCTCGTGTGCCCACGTGCCCCTCTGTGCACGCATGTGTGCATGTATCCCCTGAGGCCAACCTCTGTATGACCACATTGCTACATGGGTAGAGGGGCACCTACACGTGGGCTCTGCCTGCTGTGCCCACCCCTACGATACCCTAAACCTCCTCAATTTCTCTTTCCTCCCACTGTGCCCCGCAGAAGAGGAGTCAACTGAGCAGACGTCCCAGGTAAGGGCTGCCTGGCTGCCCACCTCTCATCACGGCTGGCCCCAGCCAGGGGTGGGGGTGCCCAGGAGCCCTGGGCCTCTCCAAGGTGGCGATGGGTCAGGAAGAAGGGAGGCCACTTTATATGTGATGTCCCCTCTGCCCGGATGTCTCCGCAGACATCTTCACCCAGCCAGTCATCCGCCAGGGAGAAGAACAGCACCCCAAGGAAGAGGAAAGCCCCTCTCCCTCCCCTGGGCATCCCCAGCCAGGTGAGAGGGGAGTCCCCCTTAGCTCCACGTCCACACCCGGCTTGGCAGGCACAGGGCAGCCGAACCTGTTTGCCTGCTCAGGCAAACTTCTCCAGTTTTGCCCTGTCGGGGGGCTGCATAGCAGCCCTCCTCCCTGCAGTGGAGGCGATGCTTAGGGGCTGGCCTGAGCTGCAACAGAGGCTTTGTCCCCACTCCCGGGGTGCATACAGCACCCCAGACCCCGAGTCCCTGCTGTCGGCAGGGCAGGGGCTATCAGCCCCTTTCAGCCCCAAAACACCTCTCACTTGAGGGGTTGTGCTGGCGTTGGGGGGTTTGGGCCCTGCCGGAGCCTTTCCTTCTCTCTCTGGTGTCAGAAAGCACCCTGCACACCCCGGCGCCTGGCTCGCCGGTGAGAGCCCATGGTGCCCAGAGAGCCACTGCTGAGCTGGGCTGGGCTCAGCCTGCCACAGCCCCCCTGGTGAGGATGGGCAGGAGGGGGCCAA